TCACATGAGGAAAGAAGCTCTCTAGCTCTCGGGCCCCTGCTTTATTTTTTATTATTTTTTTTATTTTTTTGTAGAGACAGGATCTTGCTATGTTGCCTAGGCTTGTCTAGAACTCTTGGCTCCAGTGATCCTCCCACCTCAACCTCCCAAAGCACTAAGATTATATAAGCATGAGCCACCATGCCCAGCTTTGGCCTCTTCTTATAAGGGCACTAATCCCATTATTTCATGAGGGCTTCACGCCCATGACCTAATTACTTTCCAAAGGCCCCACCTCCAAATACCATCGCACTGGGAATAGGGTTCCAACACAGGAGTTTTGAGGGAACACAAACATTCAGTCCATTGCACATATACAGATGCTTGATAAATGATGGAGATGGCATGGTGAAGCAGTAGGGCCAAGGACTGTCTTTTCGATAAATGGTAGTAGGACAATCAAATATCTGTGAGAACGAAATGAAGTTATATTTCTAGCTGGTACTAAACCAAAAAGTCAACTTCAAATAGATTATAAACCTAAATGTAAGAATAAAAACTGAAAAGCTTTTAGAGGATTATATAGGAGAAAATCTCATGATCTCAGGATAAAGAAGAATTTCCTAAGAAGCAGAAAAGCACTACATTAATGTTTGTTGAAGATGATGAACTGAGTTATAAAATGTCATTGAAGTAAAAGGTTAGAGGTGCACACCCAAATGAAATGAAATTCCACAAAATAGAAAAGAAGTCATCAAAATAGCAAGAGACAGCCAGAAATAAAGAAAATTAGTGTCATTTACAGTAGTTGTCTCTATAAAGCTGTCGTGAACACTGCACTAGCAAATACTGAAGCACTGATCTTAGGGGAAATATAGGGCTAAGTTCCTGGTAAGCCTCTGGTCACAACATGTTCATCAACCAATCAGTATATAACTTGTTTTATAAGTGTTTCTGCTTAATGATACTTTACTTAATATACTCATGGCAACAGCACTGTAACTCATGACTGAACACATGCTTTCTCCATAAGACACATCACAGCCTTCAACCATTTAAGAACACTAGAAAGCACTTCAGTACTACACTTGGGGGCCACTTAAACAGTGAAATCACCAACAAAAAGCACAAAGAGGTTAAAAAAACAAAACAAACAAACAAAAAAAAAACAGCGCTAAATCAACCACAGAAAGACAACTGTTCATAGTATGAGAACTGAAGTAAGAAGACAATGTTGCCTTGTTCAACCTCAACTGGGAATGGGTCATCAGGTGACTCAAATTTTGAACCATTATGCACATGTCCACAAATGACCATGCAAGTCCTGAGTATTGATTTTGGAGTTACAAATAAATTTTAGTGAGTAGGTAAATTCATAAACACAGAATCCTTGAATGAGGCTCAACTGAATATATATACAGTAGTCCCCCCTCCCCCAGGATTTTGCTTTCCATGATTTCAGTTACCTGGGATCAACCATGGTACAAAAATGTTAAACAGAAAATCTAAGAAATACACAATTCGTAAATTTTAAATTGTCATTCCAAGTAGCATAATGAAATTTCTCACCATCCTGCTCCATCCTGCCTAGGGCATGAATCACCTCTTTGTCCAGTATATCCATGCTGCATATGCGACCCATCCATTACTGTCCAGAAAAAAACACTATGTACATAGGGTTCAGCACTATCCACAATTTCAGGCATCCCCTGGGGATTCTGGAACGTATCCCTTAAGGATAAGGGAGGACTACTGTATTCAGTCCTGTGAGGCCTGGACTGTGAGAGAACATACATTTTCAGTTAAGTCAGCAAAGGAATCAGGGTCGTCAGAAAAGCAACATGTGATGCTCTGAACAAAATGGGCAAGATGGTACTGGAGGGGCACAGTGCCTGAATGGGCTTACATTTTGAGGAAAAACCAAAGATGACAGGATGAAAGAACTCTATACAATTAACTGACTCCAAAATTCCAAATGAAATCCTAGTAAGGCCGGGTGCGGTGGCTCAAGCCTGTAATCCCAGCACTTTGGGAGGCCGAGACGGGTGGATCATGAGGTCAGGAGATCGAGACCATCCTGGCTAACACGGTGA